AGTATACCTCTGTTTATTCAGGTCTTCCTCTATGCTCCTCAGTAAAATCTTGACGTTTTCTTCATGTAGGTTCCATACATATCTTAAGATGATTCTCACATATTTTATATAATTAGTGCTATTTTCAAGAGGATCTTTTAAAATTAGTGTATTATAGTTATTACTGATACACAGCAATTCTTGATTTTTGTATATCTGGTTTATAGCCAGTGATTATCCAATATATTAAATTCTCTAATTAGTTCTAATGGTTTTTAACTGAGTCTCTAGTATTTTCTAATGTATCATCTCTATTAATGTATCTTTTTTCTATATACATTATAAATCTTAGAATTTTGTTCACTTGTCAAACAATTACTAAACATCTTTCATGTGCCAGATACTATCTAAGTGCTACAGATACAATGATGGACAAAAAGGAATCCTGAGGGATCCCCACATTATGGGGACTTGATTGCTTAATTTCTAATAGTTACAGTTCTTATTTCTGCATTATTCCTAAACTTAATGGCTAGAACTTCTAAAACTATATTAAATAACAGAAGGATTAGTAGACATTTGCCTTATTCCAGACTTAAATGGGAATACCTTTAAGTATAATGCTTCAATCTTTTTTGACTTAGTTTGAAAATGTGATTAAATTATTAGCTAGAGGAATATACATACATACACGCATGCACTTACACAAAACTTTAAAGCAGTTTTAGGAGATGCAAGAATCCAAAAGTTCAAAAAACACCAACTAAAGGAGCTTTGCTCTATCACTTTCATCCTATTGGCTTAAGCTAGATGTTCTTCATAGTAAGAAAGTACTCTTCTGGGACAGTGGAGTGGCTTAAGTGGTAGAGCACCTGCCTAGGAAGCACAAGACCCTGATTTCAAACCCCAGTACCACCAAAAAAAGAGTACCCTTTTAGGGGGTGGATTTGATCAAAATACATATATGGAAACATCAAAATGAAACTGCTTTGCTCAATTAATATATGCCAATAAAAATTTCAAAAGTATCCTTTTATTTTAGTTAAATTCACTTTTTAAAAGTTTGGGAGGTTTTTATTATGGTATTGTGGGCTTCAAGTCATAAATAGCCTGAATAAGTGAGATAACAGCACAAAAATAGAGAGAAGATTGATGGTACAAAACAGGTATTCCCCAAACAGCCCATGATATGCATGAGTCAGCAGATGAAGAAAAAAAAAACATTTCAGCTTAGTGGAAATATGATTTCTAGCACACATCTAGGGGAAAACAAATCAACTTAGATCCTCCACTCATTACCATGTGCTAAATTATTCTAGACAGATTAAAACAGTAGATGTTTGTAAAGTCATGTTTAAAATTGTGTTAATTATTTGTTCTCTGAATAGTGAAACAATGAAAAAGATCCATATCTGACACAGCAATATTCAGACTTTTCAGGTCAAATGAGGAAAGGTATCATAAGTAATATATATATGTATGTGTGTATATGTGTAAACATCTGTGTGTGTGTACGCACACACACACACACTCATATATTTCCTGACTTAAAAGATGATTCAATTTATGATTTTTTGACTTTGCAATGGTGAAAAGTAATAGTCAGTAGGAACCATACTTTGAATGTTGATTCTTGATTTTTTCCCAGGCTAGTGAAATGTGATCCAAAACCCTCTTCTTGATGCTAGACAGCAGCAGTAAGCCACAGACTGTAGTCAGCCACATGATCATAAGGGTAAAAAACCAACAGATACCCTACAGTGAACTATATTGCTAAGCTATGATGTTTGGTACGATGGCTGGGTGTGTTAAATGCATATTCAAGTTATAATTTGTTTTTTGGCATATATCCCATTGTAAGTTGTAAGGTGTATGTAATGCACATACACCTGTGCATGTATGTATGTATGTGTGTATATATATATGCATGTATATATATATATATATATATGCATGTATATATATATGTGCATGTATATATATATATATATGCGCATTGGTATCTATCTACTTATCTATCTATAACAAAGAATGACTATTCCCTTACTATGTAAAAGGGCAATTTAAACATCTTTAAGAGGCTCACATGGCTAAAAGGGTAAAAGACAGAAATAAAAGTTACAAAAGAAGAAATTATAATGATAATACAAAAATAATCAAAGAAATGCAAATTAAATCAGTAAGATACCATTGTTTGCTTGTGAATTACCAAAGATCAAAAACAGAGGAGAGAGACTACTCATTCTCAGTCAACCATATTCTCCCTTTCCTGCTTACTAACAAAAACCTTGATGTTTGTGGGGGTAGAAATATACCTAGATAAAACTACATTTCCTGGCCTCTGTGAGAGTCTTAGCCATGTGACACAATTTCAGTCAAAGAGATATTAAAAAGAAGTGGAACCTAGTTGGGCATGGTGGTTCAGGCCTGTAATCCTAGCACTTAGGAGGTGGTGGCAGGAGGATAGTGAGTTGGAGGCCAGCCTGGGCTACAACATAGTGAGACCCTATCTCAAAAAAATCAAGGGCTGGGAACATATAGCTAAGTGGTAAGGCACTTGACTAGAATGTGCAAAATCCTAGATTCAATCCCTAGCACTGCAAAAATTGGAACTTAAAACTCCTTAAGAAAAGGGGGTGCTAAGCAGGCCTGTTTCTCTTACTCATAGGCAAACACTATACCTTCTGATATGCTCAATGCCTACAAGGATTTTGTAAACAAGTATTCTCACACAGTGACAGTGTAAGTTAGTACAGCCTTTCTGAAAAGTAATTTGGCAATAACCAAGAGCTTTTTTTAGGTCAGGCACAGTGGCTAACACCTATAATACCAGCTACTCAGGAGGCAGAGATGGGGAGCATCATAGTTGGAGGCCAGCTCAGGCAAAAGATTAGTGAGACCCCATCTCAATCAATAAGCTAGACATGGTGGTACATACCTGCCACCCAAGCTACTTGGGAGGCTTAAGTAGAAGGTCCAAGCTGGCATAGGCAAAAAACATGAGACCCTATCTGAAAAATAACTAAAGCAAAAAAAGGATTGGAGGTGTGGCTCAAGTGGTAGAGCACCTGCTTAGCAAACATGAGGCCCTGAGTTCAAACCCAAGTACCACCAAAATAAAGAAAAGCTTTTAAAACATATTCGTATTAACAAACTGTTGGCAAAGGTGCACTGTTTGTGAGAGTATAAACAATCTCTATGATGTATTATTAAGTGAGAAAAGCAAAACATAACTGTATAAAGTAAATTTCCAATTGAACAAAAAAATGGGAAAAGAAAATATACACATGTATTTGTGTATTATCTGACAGGATAAACAAGAAACTGACAACAGTAGTTTACTCCAAGTGGGGAACTGGAAGGCTGTGGAACAGAGGTGTGAGGGAGACTTTTCAATATTTATCCTCACGTATTTTGGCCCTTCTAAGGTTTCATGGGGATTCATGCTAAGTAAATTATCAGAGATACATTTACATATAAAGATGCTCATCTCAAATGTTGTCACTAAAACTTGGCAATAACCTAAATGCCCTATATTAAAGAAGTTAGCTATATTAGTTATATCTATATACAAATATTATGTATTCATTTCAACTATTACTTGTGGTATAATACTAATTAAAAAGGCCAGATATATTTATTGTTTTGCAATTTTTATAGTCAATCCTTAATAAAGGTAGAGTATTAATTACTAGACAATATACATTAAGAACCGTGATAGTACAAATGAGAAAGAATGGTTTATAGGGGGCAGGGGAGAACAAGAAGGGGCACACCAGAAGTTGATGAAAGAACTAGAGATTAAGCTGATACATCAAGAAATGGTGTTATAAACTCTATTATCCTTTTTCTTTTTTTTTTTTTGAGACAGGGTCTTACTGTGTAGCCCAGGATGGCTTCAACTTCACTATGTAACTCAGGCTGGCCTTGAACTTTCAATGCTCCAATCCTCCTGACTCTGCCTCCTGAGGATTATGGCCTTGTGCCACCATGCCCAACCTAAACTTTATTATCTTGAGTTCTGAGGTATCTACCAGGCAAATGAAAGTATGAGGTTGCCTTTCAGGCATGGAATTGAAAGCGATGCGAAAAGAACACTGCATTTCATCTTAAATTCCTCTCTGTATTATTTTATCTGCTATACATACAACCTTTGATTAGAAAATCAAAAAATTAAAGAGTAGGATATACAATTGTACAGTGTTATTTCAACCATAAAAGTGCATAGGAAAAAAGACTAGAAGGAAATGTGTCAAAATGCTAACTGTAGTTGCTTGTGGGTGGCAAAATAATGGTGGTTTCTTCGTTATAATTTCCTTGTATATTTTTTGCCGACTGACTCACTAAGAGCACTAAGAGAACATTTCCCAGGAATGTCCTGCTGTCATATCAGAAAGGCTGCACAAGGCTGGGTGGAAACAGCAGACCGTTTATTTCCTAGGTACTACAGGTACTAAGATCCCAGCATCCTCTATGGCAGACTTGCAGAAATGGCTTCAGTTTCTCCCACCTCCCTGTGTGCATGCATGCCTTTTCACAATGGAAATTTGTAGCTTCCCTCTCAAGAGGTACAATATTTCTCTAGCCCTGGCATCAAAGCTTTGTAGTGTAACTAGTTTTGGACAACAGGACAATAGCAAGAATGCCATAAGCAGAAGCTTGAAAAGTGCTTGCATATTGAGGTCTGTCTTTGCTGCTGGAAACCTCTCCACCACCCTGTGAAAAAGCTTGAGTTTGGCATCCTGGTGGAGAACCGTATGGAGAAACGTGCTAGCAATCCAAGTTAGGTCCCAGACACCTGAGGGAAATCTTTTCATACCATTCAGCCCCAGTCAAGCCAGCTCAGATTGGAAGAACGGCTCAACCAACCTATAGGACCACGAAAAATGATCAACTATTGCTGTTTTAAGCCATTATGTTTTGGATCATTTGTTAAGCAGCAAATGCTAACTGATATGCCCTCCAACATAAAAATCATCCAGCAATGAGATGCAGAAAATTATATAGTTTAATTGGATCACCTTTAGGACTCCATGGTGCATCATCTGAATTCTTCTTTTTCTTGGGTCGAGATTTCAGAGCGGGGTCATCATCATCAGACTCCAGGGAAGGATAGACTGTAGGAAGACAGAAAAGCAGGATAAAGTGAGGTTTTGCCCAAAAGGGTAAAGATAGACTAATACATACACTTCAGTTCTTCCCACTCCTGTACAAATGTGCCCTTTACTTACTTAATCCACTCAACTGCAGGAGTCTCTGAATGTGTCACATATATTTCATGTCTTTTCTACCTTTGCACCCTTGCTGCAAAAGTGCTTCTCCTACATTCACCTAATTCTGATTCATTCATCCAACATCTGTCTAGTGAGTAAGTTCATGAGTTTCTTACTCACCTTTTAAAATTCAACTCTAGGTTCATCCCTGTAAGAAGCCTTCCCTCACTCTCCTAATCTGATTCAGATGACACCTTCTCAGCTTTCCTCAGCATCCTATGCATGCCTGTGCTGAAGCTATTACATAATATCTAGAAACTATTAAATCTGTTGCCCCTAATTTACCATGAAGGATATGTATTATTTGACTTCATATTAAGGGAATCTCACACAGAGCAGAGTAGGTAGTATCCAGTGTTTGCCGAATAAATGGAAAAATAAATAGTACATACTTAAATTATACAAGGAGGTAACAAAAAATGACTTGGGCTGAAATGAGAACAAGAGTACTGGAACTACATGATCTGAATGATAAAACATGCATATACAAGTAACAGGGGTTCTTGATTGTTCTAAGAAATGAGTACTAACACAGTAGTTTGATGACTGTCCTATCTCTAGTCCCAAAAGCCATGGGTGTTATTTTGTAGAGCCTGAAAGGTTTCCTACCTCAAGGAAAGAGTGTTATGGTAGAAACCTGTTGCTTCAGAGTCATTCAATTACTTTGAAATTCTGGATTAACCCATTAGTGGTATAGGAGAACTTCTCTTGTTTTCTTTTCTTGTCTTTCTATGTGCACAATTTTTTTCATTTTTATTAGCATATATATTCATTGTATGGGGGAATCATTGTGACAATTATGAATAGCCTTAACATTGTATATTGGTTAGTTCACTCCCATGAGAACTTTTCTAAGTCTCAGAATTTTTGCCTGTAAAATTGAAATAATAGATACCATCTGTCCTGCAAAGTTGTGAGAATTAAGAGATTATATATGAAAACTAATTTACAAAATGAATTACATTCTAGGGTCATGTCTTATTCAAGAGGGGATAAGTTATAGATAACAATTAAGTCTATGGCTAGGGGCATGGCTCAAGTGGTAGAGTACTGGCCTAGCAAGTGCAAGGCCGAGTTCAAACCCCAGAACCACCAAAAAAAATTAAGTCCATATATTGAAAGAAAATATATTTAAAATATGTAAGTTAAAAATATAAGGTTGGAAACACTTTCTAATTTCAAAAAATATTACAAAGCAATAATAATTAATTGTGGTACTGGCATACAGATATATAGAACAATGAAAAAGAATAGAGAGCCCAGAAATAATGCATTGAATATGTGACCAAATGAATTTTGTTTTTTGAGACAGGTAAATCTATGTAGCCAACCACTACCCTCAAATTTGTGATCCTCCTGCCTCTGCCTCTCAAGTGTGGAGATTACAGCATGTGACAACATGCTTGGTTGGCAAAATTTTTGACAAAGGTGGCAATATTACACAATGGAACAGATAAGGAATAATACATACTCAAAGAAACAAGAGCTAGGAGAGCTAGCTGCATACTTTCCCTTTAAGAAATGTTAAAGAGGGCTGGTGGCATGTCTCAAGGGGTACAGTACCTGTCTAGCAAGCATGAGACCCTAAATTCAAACTCTGGTACTACCAAAAAAATAAAAACTTAAAAATCTAAGTGTGTACAATGCTGAAGAGAGTCCTCAGACTAAAATGAAAGGACAGCAGAGTAACTTGGAGACAAAATAAATAAATAACAGTAAAAATTATGACAGAGGTGATGTCTATAACACAACCACTTTTTTTGGTGATACTGGAGTTTGAACTCAGAACCTCACACTTGCTACACAGGTGCTGTACCACTTGAGCCATTCTGCCAGCCCACAAGTGGTGTCTAAATTCTCTTTTGCTTTTTACCCCCAGCAACACAAAAAAATAAACAAAAAACAAATCTTCTTTTTGTTTCCAAATTGATTTGAAAGACAAATGCATAAAACAATTAGCTATAAATCCATATCAATAGGAATACAATGTATTAAGATAAAATTTTTGACAAAAATGGGGGGAGGTGGAGCTAAGTTTTTGAATCCTCTTGATACTAAATGGTATCAATTCAAAGAAGACATTATAGCTAGAATGTTAACCTTAATTCTATGAAAACAGCTAAAAAATAGGCATAAAAGGAAATGAGGAGTGAATCAAACTGGTACAATGCAAAAAATCAAACACAAAAGAAAACAATATAATGGATGAATGAGATATCAAAAAGATATGACATATGGTGATATAACTAATGTACAATATAAGCCTAGTTGAAATTGTCACTATGAACCCCCCTAAGTAACAAATATATCCTAATAAAAACTTTATAAAAAAGACATATGGCCAGGCGCTGGTAGCTCATGCCTATAATGCTACTTGGAAAGCTATGATCAGGAGGATTGCGGCTTGAGGTCAGCCTGGGCAAGTAATTCATGAGACCTCCATCTCCAAAACAACCAGAGCAAAATGGACAAGAGGTGTGGCTCAAGAGGTAGAGCATCTGCTTTGCAAGTGTGAAGTCCTAAGTTCAAATCCCAGTCTCACCAAAAATAAATAAATAAATAACAGATAAATAAAAAATATAAGACATATGGAAAACAAATAGCAGGTGGGCACAGTGTTATGAGTCTGTAGTCCCAGCTACTCAGGAGGCTAAATCGGAAAGATCCATTAAGTCCAGGAATTCCAGGGAGACCTGAAACATAGTAAGACCTTGTCTCTACAATAAGAGCAACAATAACAGCAAAAGAAAACAAATATAAAAATAGTATAAATCCTTCTTTATCAGTAACCACTTCAAATGTTACTGAATTAAAGTTACCAATCAAAAGCCAGAGATTAGCAAAATTCAGCAAAAAAAACATGACCCAAACGTATACTGTCTATAAGAGATACACATTAGATCCAAAACAAACAACTAAGTTGAAAGTGAAAGGCTGGAAAAAAAGATATCCATGCAAATAATAATCAAAAACAGAGCCAGGGTAGCTATGCTAATATCTGAGAAAATGCACTGTAAGTAAAAGAATTGTTAAAGGAGGTAAAGAACAGCATCACATATTAATAATATGGCCAATCCACCAAGAGCATGTAATAGTAATAAATACATATGCACCTAACAACAGAGCCTCAAAATATATTAATCAAACACTGACAGAATTTAAGGGGAGAAACAGTACTTCTAGAATAATAGTTGGAGATTTCTATACCCTACTTTGAAAACGGAATAAAACATGCACAGAAGATAATAAAGGAAATATAAGACTTGGACAACACTATAAACCAACTAGCCCTCACAGACATGTATAGAATACTCCATGAAAAAAGAACAGAACCATACATTTTCTCAAGTGCATAGGGAACATCCCCTAGGACAGAGTATATGTTAGGCCTCAAAACAAGTGTCAGTAAGTTGTAAAAGACTAGAATCATATAAAACTTCTTCTCTAACTACAATGGGATAAAACTAGAAATCAGTAACAGAAGAATAAATGGAAAGTTAAAAAATAGTTGGAAATTAAACAACATACTCTAAAACAACCGAGGAAGAAATCACAGGTGTTAGAAAAACTTCTGAAATAGAAAGGCACTTCCTCAACAAGATAAAAGGCATTTATGAAACCCACAATTAACATCACATTTAATAACGAAATACTAAGTGCTTTCCTCTAAGATAAAGAATAAAACAGGGTTGAGGATATAGCTCAGTTGGCAGAGCACATATCTAGCCAATTGATCAAAGCCCAGCCCTGGGTTTGATCCCTAGCACCACAAAACAACCACCACCACTAAAAAAAGAATAAGACAAAGATGTTCGTTTTCACCACTACATTCCAACAAGTTCTAACCAGAGCAACTAGATAAAAATAAAAAGAAAATAAGAAGTAAAACTCTATTCACAGATGACCTTAACTTACACAAAATCCTAAAGAACTCACCAAAAAAAAAAAACCCCAAAAACCAAAAAACAATAACATTTATAGCTAATAACAATTCAGCAAAGTTTCAGGGTATATGATTAACATACAAAAATCAGTTGTTTCTATATATTAGCAACAATAACCCAAAAAGGAAATTAACAATTCCAATTTACAATAGTATCAAAAATAAAGTAAGTAGGAATAAATTTAACCGAGTAAGTATAAGATGTGCACACTGAAAACTATAAAACATTGCTGAAAGAAGTGAAAGAGGATATGAATGAATGGAAAGACAACCCATGCTCATGGACTTGATGTCACAATACTGTTAAAGACAGCAATACTGCCCAAAGTGATCTAAATATTCATTGCAATCTCTACTGAAACACTAATGGCCCTTTTTGCAGACATGGAAAAGCCAATTCTAAAATTCAGCTGGATTTCCAAAGGACACTGAATAGTCAAAATAATTGTCAGTCTATATGGACTACTATACCAAAAATACCATATACTAGGTGGTTTATAAATAACTGAAATTTATCTCCCACAGTTCTGGTGGCAGGAAATCTGAGAACAAGGCATCAACAATGTCTGGTGAGGGCCAGCTTCTTTGTTGTAGAACAGAAATTAATGAAACTGACAGGGAAAACAGAAAATAAAACCACAATCTTTGAAAAGATTAAGCAAATTGACAAAATGATTTGATTCTCAGCAGTACAAAAAGAAAACTGATAAAGTGCTAGCAAGAATGAGAAAGATGAAACAGACAAAAAGAATTATTACAAAAAATCATTAAAACAAAAAATGAAAAAGGGTATCATTGAAGATCCCACAGACATCTAAAGGCTAAAAGAGAAATTGTATGAACAACTCTATGCCCATAAATTCTATATCTCCAATGAAATGGACCAATTTCCTAAAAGACA